TGCTTTTCTTTGCTTTCTTCTTATGCTCTTTAGCTTCTTCAACATTCACGTTTTCTTTCTCTTTTTCCTAAAGTCCAAATTAAAAGATTATATTTTAATATATGTAGTTTTTTTATGGCAAATTAACTATAAATGAAAACAATACCTTTCCAAAATTGTAAGTTAGAGTGACTACCTGGTCATGAAGAATAGGAGCAGCTTGGGTCGACATTGATAATGGTTCGATGAGAGGTCTTTTATCTTTCTGCATAATTGAAATCGAGTTTAGTAAATAGTCAATGATGCATGTGATTAGATATTAATGTACCTTAATAAGAGTAATTGAATCTCTAGGCCATTGAATAAAACTATGAAGTGCCTGCCCTAGATTATATACACCTTCAATTGGCGATATTGGAAGAAGGAAAGAATGATGATCTCCATAGATAATATCGACTGATACCCTCAAATGCCCTGCTTCTAGAGGAACCGAATGAATTACACCATCTCCGAAAGGGAAGACGGTTCCTTTGGCTAATGATGGGCGTATTGTGCCATATGGTAGCATCAACTCACAGTCGGTGGCTTCCTACAAACAAATATACATTTTGTTTAATGCAAAGTTATATTATCAAACATGCAAACAAATATATATGTTAGAAAAAATAGATATCGTTATCTTATGCAAATCATCCAACAATGTCGTGGATGTCTTCGATCCAACACTTGTCGTCTTCACCCGAGAAAAATTTGTGTCGTCCGCCATATCAATTGTCTTATCTTGCTTCAACGCAGCAACCACTATCGGTACTAATTGTTCCGACATCTCAGTCATTAACCTATCTTTGATCTTGTCATAAAAGTTGCTATTCAACATCCTCGTCTCTAGCTTTTCTTGCATCTGTTCAACATCGGGTAACTCATGTTCTTTCTTTTTTCTTTTATAAATCATTGATTGCTTTAATCCGATATTATGACCAACTGCCCTCGTGCGACCGGAATGTTCCCGTCCTAGTACCTCCGCCAGTAGATCAGATCGAGGTCCAAGCTCCAACACTCCTTGAGATAACAGAATATCTTTTTGGATCTATAAAAATGCAAACAATACAACTGTAAGAGCAGTTTATTTAATAAAGAACTTTCAAAGGCCACTATCTTACAATCTTATCTGCTAGAGGTTCGGTCTCTGGCGTTATAACCAACTGCCCCGATGCATTGCGTTTTCTCCTGGCATAGAGAAAATTCCTTGCCCGCTTGCTTGATATATTGTGGCCTTTTATTGTTACACCAGATGTTGCCTCTTCATCCCATTTGCTTTCATTACCACGATACCCGCTTGGGCCCAACCGAGGATGGTTCTTGTTTTTATTTGCTGCCTCCCTTCCTTTTCTTCTTAATTCCTTTACAAATGAATTGTCCAATTAGAAATAGTAAAACACAACAATATTATAAACTCAAATAGACCTCAAATTCTTCCGTGGATTTTAGAACAATAAACTTTTTCCACATTGCTTTGTCAAGGTACGGGTATTCTTTTACTGGATTGACACCTTTTTCCCACAACTTAAGAAGCGCCGACTTGTAGGCCTTCCATTGCGTGTTGCAATCTCTAAGTACTTGTGCTTTATGATTATCATCTCGTATATGCCAATAATTCTGCTTTTTTAAATAAAAAATGAAGATAACAATTATTAGGTAAATGATATGATACAACTTGTATGATAGAAGATAATAACATGGTAGGAAATTGTGATTGCTACTATTAAATGATAACAAAAGTGTGTTGAAATGAGTTTTACCTTTATGTTCAACCACAATTGATCCTTGTCACATTGATCCACTAAATCCCAACTATCTATAAGGATAGAAATCATCTTCCTCGTAGTCACTCCACGATAACTGGTGAACTTAAAGCGGTTAGGTCCAATAGCTCTACCGAATTGATCAAACTCAACTGTTAAATTTGATAGATATTCTTTGGAATGATCTCTGATCAATGTCACACTTCTCTTTTTCTTTTCTTTACGGTCCATTGTATGCCTACAAAAGCATAAACACTCGTATAATTAATTCTAAGAGTCTCAAACACCAAAAAAAAACCAAAATTTTATATAAAATTGAAGATGCCCAAGGTAAGTTTATGCTCTTTTCAAAACAAATTCAATGCTTTATGTACTCTTGATTCATATATTAACTCAAATAATGTTTGTTAATATGTATACCTTGCTTCAAGATGTTTCGTTTTGGGTTTATCAACACTTCTTTTTCTGGTTTTTCTTTCTACCATACGGATCCTCCTGCTCTTGGTTGTTTGCACTAGTACCTCATCCATATGTAATGGTAAATTTCCAATGTATAACCTCAGACCTGTTGATAAAAAAATGAGCATAAAAATGATCATAGAAAATGATGAGGGTAAAGATATGTTAAAGATTATGACTTAATCCAACTAATGAGAAGATGATGAAATAATAATCGATACCCCACAGCTAAAGGCAATTGAAGTGAAATTGAAGGAGATTGGAATAGTCTCTGAATCTTTTGGTCCTGTACAGAAAATTTCAAAAGGATCAATGTGATTGAAGATTACACAAATAAAAAATCGGTTACTTTGTAGTTTTCATTCCATTCTAAATGCATATTTCTACTCAATAGTGCAAAGGTGGCAACTCAGGGGAGAAGAAACTCTCTCTTCATTTCTGATGATTGGTATGTAAATTGCCTCATATTCTTAAAATCGACTTTATTTATTAAAATTATGACATGGAATTTTATAAAACATTTTAGTAATTCAGCTGTGTTGACTTGTTTTCGAGCCAAATGTACTCATTTAATTGTTATATTGACCTAATATTTCTTTTATTCTTTAATTTCAAGCTTTTGCAGATGTTAAATCAAGTTACAAAAGGATGAATGCACTCCCTAAAGTACCCTTATACACCTGTCCAAGTGAATTTTGACAAATATTACCTGAGGAAAACATCAACCAAATCCCCATTTTCTTTTAATCTACCCTTATACACTTGCCCAAGTGAGGCTGCTGCTATTGGAGAAGTGGTGAGCTCTGAATAGATGTTTGGTGAAAGTGTATGATGAGATTATTTTGATGAAGGCAAAGGAGTTTGTAGCAAATTCTTTCTATAGCGGTTTAACTGCTACTAAGTTTTTCTATAAGAAAGAATATTGACACATTTTTTTTGTTTCTTTAGAGGAGTTCACATAGGAAATCATCAGAGGGTAGCAAAATATGCGCTTTTGACTTGTTGGCATCCATAGCTGACAAGTTATCACAGGAGAGTGAAAGTTCTACTTCAATCACCAGTCCAGAACAAGTTATCATAGTTTAAATCTACCCTCCAAACGTAGGTTACTAGAAATTAATATGATTATGATATCATAGACCAGTTGAAATTGTCGATTACTAGAAATTTTACTGATTATGGTCTAATAAACCAATAACTAAGTAGCATTTATACTTTTACACAGTATAACCATTATCAACTCCTAGTCAACTAGCAGCATTGCATAAACACAACATTAATCAAAGAAGACATTGTCATAAACAGAACATTAATCAAAGAAGGCCGATCGTACCTGTAAACAACGTGAAAGAAGGAGGAGGCAGAAGCGGCTGTTGGCCGGAGTAGGAGACTTCGTCTGTGTTGTCGACTGAAGACCGGAGGCGTCGTCGGGTGAAGGCGAAGGCTTCGTCGTTCTCGTGATAAGCAAAAAAGTACACGCAAAAGGGAGCGTAATTGCAATTTTGACTTTTGGGTCAATTTTGTTTAGTTTGCAAATTTTGACCGAATTGAAAATGTGCTGGGCTACACTGATGGGCCCCTTCAATATGCAAATTTTGACTTTTGGGTCAATTACCCAGGGAAGACGTAAGTGTATTTTTTGTTTTCTTTTTTATCTGCATCAAACCTTGTGAACCGTTTTAATAAAAATAATGTCTTACTTGTGTAAATAATTTTGCAATAAGTACCAGTCAATCATTTATTAACTAAAATAAGAAATTCATGTATATTTGTGTATAAACTCACTATTGAACCGATAAGAAAAATAAAATTACAAACATGGATTTGTTTCTTCTTGTTAATGTAAATAATAATTTGATGGAAGGAAATGATAAGAGACAAAATTATCACATTTACTAAAATTTTCGACGACAAATTTTTAGCAATTAGCATTATAGTAAATCAAATAATAAGAAGCTGTGAAATGATGAATCAGTATGAGTTCAACTTATTTTTATCTTATTGTCATCCCATTATATCACTTTGTTTATTTCATCGTGATACCATTCTTCCAGAAGCATAATGTGTTGGTTGATTTGAAAAGTGGTCCCTGAGACGTCAACTTTAATAGAAAATATGTTAGAATTATTACAATGACAATTTTGCCCTTTCATTTTGGATGTAAATGGTTAAAACTACCATAATGCCATAGGATCAAAATGGCAAAAAATCAAAATTATCAAGATATTTGAATTGGATGAACCAAGAATTCTTTGAATGCTTATGAAGCATATCCAGAAGGTTGGCTTTAACCCTTTAAACAAACCCATCTTCAGTGTCCAAACATTTTCTCTATGTGATTAATTAAACGAAAATCAGTCTAAAGTGACAATTTTTCCATTTCATATGTTTTTGATAAACCGGTAACAACATTATACTTGAATCAATTTTCTTTTTAACAAAATAATACTTTCAACAATAGGATTATACTTTCATTTTGTACACATAATAGCATCGTACTTTCAGTTTTTACACATAATATCCACGTACTTTCATTTTTTACACATAATACCCCCGTACTTC